GCTTCACAGTCCTTTTCTGAATCATTTAAATCTGAATTTAAATGCAATTGTACATGGCAAAAAAATTGCTTAAGGAAGATTTAACTTTGATGTCCTTCACATTTACTCCTATAGAGTTTCAACTATATTAAATTTTTTTGGTTTATATATACCTATAAAACCATTTGGCAGCTATTTCTCCCCTAAGCCCTTAATTCATGGCAGGGGCACAGAAGTATGCTTAAAGTGAAAATCTTTGGAGATGGAGTTTTTCCAAAAGGGCAATAAATCTTTATCATTCCTTATTAAAGTTAGGGGAAGGACCATGTTTATGAACACATCCTCCAAAAGTTATGCTTCGAATCTTTATAAAATACATTAACAGTAATGCAACCAAACAAGAAGAGTGCTTCACTTAACATTTTATCTACTGGCCTTCTGATTTTATAGAATTAGAACTACTTCATTTTGAATATATTTCTTTGAGAATAATGTTGCAATTATGCCATGTATCTCAACCTATGACCATAAGCAGCAGCCCTGTGTTTTGCTGGTGTGGGCTTGCAATCCTTCAGTATGCACATGGTCCGGTTTGGATTTTTACACTGCTGCCCAGTGTAATCTTTGGTAAAGCCTTGCATTTCCATAGCCTTCAGTAGCCGTAGCTATGAAAATACAGACAACTGTGTGTAGGCTGTCTTTGAAACCTTCTTTGGAAACCTAAGCTTATATAAAGTCTTAAAAGCACAAAAATGTACTGTCTATTAAAACTGAGTATGTTTAGTTCTCGTCTGAGAGGGGTTCCCCCCTTTCTTTCACAAAAAGTAATTATTTATAACAAATAAAAGCACTTTACCTGTTATCAAAGCACAAAAATGTTGTGCTTTAATTAACACAATTCGCAGAACTTTGGATTGGCACCGATTTTTGGAAGCACTCAAAAGATTTTACTGTTTAGCCTCATCAAGTACTTTCTTGCATTTCGAATTTCAAATCACGTGTCTGAAGAGCACACAGCAATGTTACATGTTCTGGATGTTGATGTTTCACACCCGCTGTCCATAGTTTACAGCGTACCAGGGAACATTTTTAGCCCTCTATCAATAAGCACAGCTAGCTGGGATTCTTCAAGGTACCAGCTTTGCACCTCTGCCCAAATACAACCACCAGCATATGGCTACTCCTTTAAATTCTGTTTAGGGAGAGATCCCTCCCCTCCTTTTTTTTGGCGCTGTTTCCTTCTTCTCCAAAGTAATTAATAAACAAAGCACAGAACAAGGAATGGTCTCCTGGAATCCAAAGTAAATGAAGGATCAAACTTTACACTGTTAGCCCCACACATCAGCTTAAGAGCACGCTGTGTCATTGACTCAACAATCTGAAGAAAGGCTAATTCACACCAGATTATCCCATGTAACATTCTGTAATCCTGTAACGCATGATAGATTTAAAACAAAGTTGTATGGGATGTAGTAGAGTTTGCTAGTCTCCCTTAAAACTTTTCATGGTTTTGGCGAGAGTTTACATGTAAGTTGGAAAACAATCATACGACCTTCTGTTTGCCTGCAGAGCTTTTCCTCTGTGCGTTGTCAAAGCAACTGGTACAGTCTAACAACAGGATGGTTTCTGAAGGAATTAAAACACCTCCTTGTCTCTGACTGTATTCTCACATTGTGGTTTATGTGCAGGTTTTTTAGGGAGGAGGGAAGACAGGCTCCATTTCAGCAGCAGTGTGCATGTTAGCAAAACTGCAGGACCTTTGGTCTGAAGCTCCCTCTGCTTCAAGTCTTACCCACAATAGACTCCCTGCTAGCTCTGGGTCTGTTCCAGCTATCTCAAAAGGCAGGTTATCTACAGACTTGAAAATATTTTCAAGTATGGGCAATTTTATAAACAAGCTATTTTTTCTAATGTTCTCATAATGGCCTTTAAGATGTTTACATCTTCAGAGGAAATGAAGACTTGAGAAATCTCCGTTTTAAAAAAGGAAAATAATATTCCAAAGTCTTACTGAAGAACATACATCCATGTCAGGACATCTTCTGCATTCTGACAATGTCTTATCTATTCTTTCATTGAAAAATTATCCCGTATTTTGAGATACTGTATCAAAAGAAAACAAGTGAGTCGAAGCTGCAGAAGAGCCAGAACAAAACTCAACTGAAACCCACCTATTTTCCACCCATGCTCATGAAGCTTCCTCACATCACAGCTTTGCACAAGATGCCTGTCACAAGTGGCTGTCATGGACTTCCAGGGAGATTTGCCTCATGGCTGTGGCAGGACAGCACTCATTTCCAGCTACAGCCCTAAACACTGCTTACAGACAGGAAATGTCCCTAGTCAGAGTGGGGCACACCAACAGCATGATCCCCTTGGCACCGCACACATTAGGGCAGGGGCACAACCAGGTTGCAAAACCAAGAAGTATCCTGTTACATTTTGCTATATGGAAATAAAAAAAAAAAAAGATGTGTAATGGTGAGCTTTTTAACTTTTTTTAAAACTTTTTTTTATTCTTACAAACCCATTTGCATTGGTACTTTTTGCTTAATTTCAGGACTTGGGACACCAGCAATAGTCAACCTCTAGGCTTGCAGTGTAACAGTGAAGACTGTAAAATCATTTCAAGTGTCCAGCGCTATAAAGTCCAACTGTGTGCACAACAAAGTCCTTTCCCAGCAACATACAAATACAGAAAAATATGTAGCAAAATAAGCTGAATAAATTATAAATACTTGAGAAATATGGTGCAAAATGTAACATAAGGAGAGCTGAACTAAGGCACTTGTTTTCATTCGTTACTGAGGACACCCTCTCTGTTATCGCATCGTCACTCCTCAGTGAGAAGGTCATCCAAATCAGCATCTGCTCCCCAAATCTGAAAATACAGAACCGTGTATGAGACAGACACCATCTTGTACTTCACAGTGCATGACTCAAAGGTGTTACCAAAGTTCTCCTGATAAACGCAGCATCAGCAAATATTTAAACTCCTTCGTCCCGGTTTTAGACTTGTCAGTTGTGTGAAAAGAAGTCAGCAGTCTATTTTAAGGAAAAGCATCTTTGCAGAAGTCCCTGTTGGCTGCTATTAGCCAGACAGGATCTACATGCAAGCCTGGGGAGCGGGGAGCAGTATCAAAGTGTGCCGAATGACAAAAACCAGAGCAGCCCTCTCCAGCCCCAGATCCAGCCCCAAAACAGACTGCCTGGAAAGGTGGGACGGGCACGCAAGCCTGTCACGAGTTTGACAGGTGCTCACAACTGTGAATCGTATTGTTACAGAGTCCATTGAACTAAAAAAAAAAAAAAAAAAAGAAAAACCACACCATTGGTGTTGCAGTACCATGTCTTTGAAATGGATGTGAGAACGAGAAAGCTGGGATCCTAAGTTAAATTGTAGCGAACACGCCACCAAGTTTTCACACGAGTGCTCTTGTGCACCTCTGACTAATCGGGTAAGTGGAGTCAAGCCCAAATCAAGACCTCAAAAATTCACTTCAAGAGGGGAAAAGCAAAGCCCACGCTACTCATTCTCCTCGTTCCCTAAAAAAAAAAAAAAAAAAAAAAAAAAAGGAAAAAAGAACGATTCCACAAGCCACAGCAATGCGAGCCTACGCACATCCATGTTTCGCTGGCAAAACCGAAGTGCCTGCTTAAAAACCACCAGACTTGGGGCAGTCTCCGGGACGGTGGCCTCGGCGCGCTGGCTGTCTCCCTCCCGAAACGGGCCTCACTCCGGGAGCAGGGCTGCGGCCGCCTCCCCCTGCCCGGCCGGGTCCTCTCGGCTCCCCTCGCCCGGCCGGCGTCAGTATCGGGGGGCGGCGGGGGGCGGCGGGGCGGCGGCGGGCGGTGCAGGGCCGCCCCCGGGGCAGCCACAGCACCGCAGGGTGTAGTTGCGGCCGCCGTTGTTGTCCCAGAACTCGCCCTGCGCGCTGCGGTAGCGGATGGCGAAGTGGAGGGCAGAGCCCTCCCGCAGGCTCGGCGGGACGCACAGGGTGAAGCCGTAGCGCTCGGCCGGCGGGTCGGGGGGCAGGGGGGCGGCCGGGACGTCCACGAAGGAGAGCCACTCGTTGAAGGTGTAGCGCACCGTCACCTCCTTGAGGCCGGGGCCGCCCAGCACTTGCACCGTGCCTCGCACGTCGGTGGGCGCCGCAGGCCGCCCCAGCCGCTCCAGGCAGACGCGCTGCCGCCGCAGCCGCTCGGCGCTGGGCTCCCCGCCGTCGGGGAAGTCGGGCACCAGGAGCAGGGCGGGTGGCGGCGGGTCCCCGCCGGGCGGCGGCGGGTCCCGCTCCTCGCCGGGCGGGCTCTGCAGGTGGGACAGCGCGGCGGGCGGCACCTGCGGCTCCTCCGCGTCGCTGAAGTGCTTGACGCTGGCGAGGCTCAGCCCCAGCGAGTCGGCGAACTGCACCCGCTTCTTACACTTGCCGCAACAGTCTTCGCCCGCCGCCGCCTCCCCCTCCTCTTCTTCCTCCTCCCCCTCCTCCTGGCGCTCGCCGGGCCCGGGGGACGGTGGCCGCCCGCAGCGCCGTAGCTCCAGCAGCACCAGCCGCTCCCCCGCCGCCTCCCGCTTGGCGTCGCGGGGCACCGTCGGGGCCGCGCCGCGGAGCCGCCGCTCCTCCGCCGCCAGCTCCTGCCGCGGGCGTGCAGGGCTCGCCATGGCGGGGCGCCCCGCTGGGCCCGTTCCGGCCGACCCTGTGCCGGCAGGCGAACGGGCCGGCACCGCTTTATCCGGCGCCCCCGCCGCAGGCCCCGGGCGGGGGGCGCGCCCCCCCCGCCGGGCCCGGAGCCTCCCCGCGGGGCCGGGGCTGGGGCTGGGGCGGCTGCGGGCGGGGGCGGGACCTCCCTGGACGGGCAACGCGGAAACAGCCGCGACGGGCGGCCCCGCACGTCCTCTCGCCCGCCGGGGGCCGCCGTTACCAGGGCGCGGAGGAGCGAGCAGAGAGCAACGCTGCCCCGTGCCTTGCGGGGGCTGCGGGAGGCAGCGGGAGCGGGGAGAGGCGCCTCGCGGGGCCCGCTGGGGTACCCCCGCCGCCCGCCCCGCCCCGCACTGTCGGGCCGGGGGAGAACACGGGGCCGTGGGCTGCTGGAGCGGGCTTGGTTATTGCTCTAATTTATTTTTTTTATTATTATTATTGTCATGATCATCATCGTAATTTAGGCTTCCACCCGTCGGAGATTCACCGAAGAAAGAGCCTGGAGGGCCAGGATTAAGCAGGAGCCCCCCCGCCCCGTGATGGCATCACCGAGGAGCTCCAGCCGTGCCCGCGGCGCAGGGGCGGGAGGCGGCGGGAGCTGAGCGGCCCCTCGGGACCGGGGCTGAGCCGCCGCCCTGCCGCCGGCCTGGGCGTCAGTAGCGGGGGGTCCTGCCCGTGAGCCGCTGGGAGTTTGTAAGACTCATGGCTTAGACCCCTGGCTTTTGTGTTTAATTTGGTTTCCACCCATCCTAACTGCAGCGAAAAAGCTTTGAGACCAGAGCTCGAGGACAAAACCCCAAAGGTAAAACGAACTCCGAAGGCATTAACTTTTTAAAGTATGATACATTTTGTAAGCCGATCTCTTTATTTTTTACCTACACTCGGTAGTAACAGTACCCGTGGAAAATCGAGTCCAAAGGCTAAGGAGGCACACACGTGTGCACACATGCCCTCTTAGAAGATCAGACTATCGTTAAAATTTCCAATTAAAAAATCAAGGAGGAAAATCAAAGTACGGGCATTACCTTTTAATCGAATAAAGAGAAGTAGAATCCCTCTCAGTTTTATTTTCTAGGCATGATGCGTAGTAAACAGCATCCTCATAACAAGATACTTTTATTAATACGGTGAGATCCATATCTGAGAAGTTTCCAAACATGGTTCTATACTTTGTGTGTGCCACAGTATTGTCTGGGGGTGATTTGCATGGATGATTGCAAAAATACTACATTATTAAACTCCCCTCCATTCTTTTTCTCATGGAAAAGACACTAAAAAGCATATGCAAATAACACGGTGCTTTCTGAAGCAGTATACTCCCACTATGGATGTAGCAAGGAGGGGTTTTTTGTTTGTTTTGCATAGTTTGTTTTATTTTTAGCATCAATCTGGTTTCCAAAAAGCAGCCTCCCAGTGTGAGTGAATACAGTGCAGTTCAACTGTCTGTGCAGTCTGGGTCTCACAGAGGAATGAATATCAAAGCAGCAGAAACACCACCAAACAGTTTTCTTAGCAGATACTGCTGTGAGGATGTTCTTACTACACCTTGACAGAAGATCTGAACAGCAAAATGTTACTTAGAAGTGCCAGATAATCTGATTACTCAACATTTGTTTGTAGTTTGGTTTGGAGCATTGTAAGAAGAGGAACGAAGGACAAACATTCTGGCTGGCACCCACTGTGCTAATGGAAAACATGACAAACACCACTTTGCCATCAACTGCTCATCACCAGCACTCTGCTGCGAGCTGCCCCATCCAGCAGACTGTTGGGTAAACCCTTCATAGGAGCATTTCTTTGCCTAGTCCTCTCCAAGTGAGCTGATGTGCCACTATTTCAGCTCTTTGAACTAACCAGTCTCAAATTAATGGTACTAAACCCCAGAGCATGGTCCTGAGTTACTCATCTGAGGTCTGTGATGCAACATAAGAAAGAGGAACACAATTGTCTTCTTCCTGCTGACAGGGAAGGTGCTGGTGTCAGCTGCTTTCACCATCATTCCCGACCTGCTAGTGGCTGTAACAGAGCAGGGGATGAAAACTTTGGGCCCCTCTCCTGTTAACATTCACTGTGATGAAAACAGGCTGCAATGCAGGCTCTTTCTCACCTGTCCCTGGAAGTGAGACCTCATGACTCACCTATCTGAGTGAGGTGCTTGTGGCACCTCAAAATTAACAAGCTAAAAAAAAAAAAAATGAATAGATGATGTTTAGATTGGGGTGCTTAGTACTTACAGTATATTCTAGATCCTTTTCATAAAATACAACACTACTACTTTATTTTCTTGAAGTGTTATCTATTTTATGGTGAGGAAAACAGAAATGAAGAAACCAGTCCTTACTTCCTCATGTGGAAGCTTTCCCAGCTTGCCAAATCATTAACAAATGTTTTAAGCAGCAAAGGGAAAAAAATGTGCCGTTTGCTCATAAGGCAAAACCATGTGGACTACTAGAAATTACACAATAATGTGAAAGGTTTACGCAAAATAAGGGACAGGAAAAAGTGAAACCAACTGTAAATATCGATAAGAGTTAAGTCATAGGGTAGCAATTAATACACATTTCTTATATGTTCCATAACTCTGGGAGACAGGCCTCCACAAAGAATCACCATTCACAGAAATAAAGCAAAAGCAGTTAAGGCAACATGAATGCATATTGCAGGAAAATAATTAAAATCAGGCAATTAAAGGCATACAAAGTTGTATTTTTAGTTGGAATCAATTGCTACCATTTTGAAAGGGGTAATTTAAAACCAGATAAGCCTGTAGAACAGATGTTCAACTATGCAACAAACCATGCCATAGGACATTAGTTAAGGAGTTATTAGTTAAGGAGTTATTAGTTAAGGACATAAGTTACGTACTTCAAAATGGCTTCTCTTAAAAGAACAGGGCAACCAGGATCTCAGGTTTCTAATTTACCACATTTTTTATTAAAGAGGATGTTGAGATAAAAGCAGAGAGATTTCTTAGTAATAGAGAGAGATAGCATATTTGCAGAGAGATAGCATATTTGCAGTCAGGAAGCATTTTGCATTCCCTGAGCTTGGACCGCATGTGTTTAAGGTCACAAACTACACATAGGATCAACACAGCACCACCTTCTTTCATTTCCCTCCATCTTGTTTCCCAATTGCCCACCTTGATCCCATCCTGCATTCAACACACACATCTTGTAGGAGTATTTGCATCCTCAGAAGAAAACTGAAAATGAAATTTAAAAAAAGAATGCAAAAATCACTGGTAAGCAATCCATGGTATTGTTTTTCTCACTATGATTGCATGGGAATGTATTTCTCAGTACTCATTAGATTGGAGATTTTGGTTTGGAGCTCTATTTGCTATGCAGATTAATAAATTGATCAAGCTGCTTAGATCAATAGTTGTCATCATTTGAAAACAAAATGAACATTAAAATATTTGTTTGCAGACACCCAGAGTCAATTAACTGGAGGATTCTGTGGATTCGATTCAACCACATAATGTAATACTGAAGCCCATTCAAATACTGTTCATCATTTCTTTTAATGCACCTTTAATATTAGCTTCAACCTTCAAATCCAAAACTAGTAACATTCCCAGTTAGTCCAAGGGGAAAGTATTCTACTTTTGGATGTACCTAGTTCAAATATGTGAGATCTGTCCAATTTCCTGCTTAAGTCTTTTGTGGGACAATCCCCCATGACAATAGCTTATAAGAAAATGTGAATGAGTCATAACTCCTAAGCACTATGAAACAATTTACAGGGATTTAGAAATATGCAGGGATTATCACAGTTCACACACAAAATTAATACCATCTTTTCACAAATGCTAGCAGCATTCGTACTTGATTCACTTTGAAAATTATGTAGTTCCTCATCCCAGTTTTAACAGTCATGTTCCTTCTAGAAAAATGTCAGTGAGGATATTAATAGCCTCCTCAATTATTTTTAACAAAAAGTAAAATGCTCCCTATCCCATCAGAAATTTTAACTTCTCTGTGTTTCTAATAAGGATGGGATTTCAGTTTACTGCATTTATGAGGATGGTCAAACAGTGGGTCCATACAATTAGAATAGAAATTATTCATAAGTTAGATTATTAGACCTAATTTCTTCTTTATGCAGGAAAACCAAGCAGCTGTACTTCTAAAAGGCATGCATTAGATCTGTAATGGGAAAAGTACTGAAATGGAAACAAGTAAATGGAAGTGATTACTTTAGTTTCCAGATCTTAAATACCAAGATTTAAACTTAATTTCTTCAGGATGCTCAGCAAGCACAAACCTTTAGAGCTTTGAGTTGCTCAGACAATCACTTTTAGAGGTCTCTGCTGTATATTTTTCTTGTGTCTCATCAGATTTTCATCTGATGTTCCTTATGGGATGTAGAGATTCCTTTAAATACAGGAAAATATACTTACTCCATTTTCCTGAACTACAGCAATGGCTGTGTTTCCTATAATGATGTTTAATATCCTTTTCAATTACAAATACTGAGTATTTGGCAATAAGGCAAAGAACGTCCCTTCATTTGGGTGAAATGCTAACCTCCTGGAAGATGAAGTTTTGTAATTGATTTCAGTAGGTCAAAAATTTCCCTGTCTCTGATATAAAATTAAGGCCATTCTTCATGAAAAGTAAATATATAGTAATGGTACAAAGGATTCTAAATTCAGAGTAGAGTTGGCATTAACTGTGACATAGTTGCACAAAATCTTCTATGCACCATGATTTCTGAAGTGTTGCTTGGATCTTGTGGCTCTTAAAGGTGTCAAGATTTGATTTAATACCTTTGATACTTATAGGTATTTATCTAAACTTTTTATATTCATGTGGTACACTGAAAATCCTAAAGCATTTGTCAGTCGGTAAACTATATGATGATAAAAAACCCTCCTGTATACAAGCTGTCATCCTGCCTTCCTTATAGACTTACTGTTGCATTTCAACAATTTACCCCAAATAAACAGTTTTGAAAAGGAGAAGTTCAGATTATCAGTGAGAAAAAATGGTTTCAGCTTCCAAAATGTATTGACAGCATAGGAGTTGAAAAGGGTTTTGTTTTAGGGGTTTTGTTTGTTTTAATGTGGATCTCCAGAAAGTTGCAGAACCGCATGTCTTTCAAAAGTTTCTGATGAACACTATGATCCAGGTTCTCACATGTAAAACCTCTATGTTTATGGGTTTTTTTGTGTGGGTTTGTTTTTGTTTGTTTGGGATTTTGTGTGGGTTTTTTGTTGTTTTTGTTTTGCAATCTAGGAAAAATATAATTTGCATCAAAATCTTGCCCTACATTATGCTAGTATTGCTTTGGATTTCTATGAGAAAGAAGCTCCATCTTACTCAGAGTATGTTGGTATGAAGGGCATTCTACCCCCAAAACTATTGCTAGGCTATTAAAATAGTTAAGTTTTTCTTGCTGTCTCAAATTGCTGGATTTTGCTCCTGCTCTGACACTTTGCAGTCTGCCTTCAGAAAACCAAAACCAATGTCTTCTTAAAACTCTGTAAAGAAACTTATTCAGACAGAAGATATGTTTACCTCTTGTCTAAGGACACTCCAAAATTCCAAATGCTTGATACACCCTCCAAAATATACTCCTAGAAACTACGTAAAACATGACAAAACAACACATCTCTAGACCACCTCTTTGAGTTGTTAGCACATGAATATTACATGCCTGAGACATTGGATTTCCTCCCTCTCCTTTCTTCCCCCTCTAAGGCATTCGATTTTTTACCCATTGGAAATGAGATATGAAAATGGAAAACAACATGAACTTGTACCCACATAAATTCTGTTTTGTATTTCTGTGTTTGTCTTTGTTACAAGCAGCAAGGTGTGTAACTCACTCAAAATCAATAGTGGCACGAACTCATTTGGTCTCTCCTAGGACAACAGAATTTGCCAGCTGGTCAGAAGGACCTTCATGACGTTGGCTGGCAAAACCTTGCTGGTCTTTAGAGTTGCGTTTGACGTGGCATAATGAAATGCTAACCTGACCTCATTAGCTTAGATACCTCCCTGTCCTTTGGGAAAACAGAGTTGTGCAATATAGCCTGTTTTAATAACTGCTGGCAAATGCAGGCCAGCCTTTTCAGTCCAGCAATCGCAGCCGGGTAAGTTGTATGTCAGTCCCATTTTTTTTCACTTGGCTTAAAACAGAGGAATAATCTTGCTGTAAAAATTCTACATTAAAAATTGTTTGCTTGAATGTGTATTTTTTTCAAACTGTCAGAAAAGGAGTAAATTCAACCCTGACTCTCTGCATTTCCCAAGGACAGCCTCAGTTACAGTCTGTTCTCAATTGCTCAGCTATGATAGTAGATAGTAAAACAAGTATCTGATAGAATATATCCTGTAAGAGAGACAGTCATTTATATCGATTCTCATGACTTATGAACATCATAACTTCAGTTGATGTAAATATATACCAGTGACTAGGTATCTTTAACAAAATACAATACTGCTAAAAGCACAAAAAAGAGACTTCAGAGTTGAATTTCAGTGAACAAAATAGATTTTGTAGTGGGCTGAATCAAGAGAGATTTGCTTTTCTACAGAATGTTAATAGTTGTTACAGTAGGAAAGAAAAAAGAGCAGAAATGCTGCTTTAATATTAGTGTCCTACTCTAAAAAGTAAGCCTGTACTTGAAAACTCTTAAGTACATGAACAAGAAACAAGACTGCATGACACAGCCTAATGCTGCAAAAGTAAAGGACTGGCACAATAGCTGCCATTAACAGTAAACAAACAGAAGTCACTGAAACAGCTATCTATGAAGGCAGGGATGCTTTGTCCTGCATCACCAGAAGTAAAAATAAAGAGTGTTTTTTATTTCATTGGCTATAAATAGTTAAAGTCCCACAGTCCCGTAGGTTCAGTACCTTCATCAGGAAAGTCAGAAAAGAAGCTCCATCTGGTGGCATGGTTGATTGTAATTGCTTTTCAATTTCATCTAATTGTAAATACATTCCTCTTTAGCAACAACATGACAAATTGAAGTAACATGTAAAAGATCACCTGTTGTGCAAGTGGAACCAGCATTGTCTAACACTTGAAGATTGGAAAACACTCTAAGATCGGAAAACACTCTAAAATCAGGACCTTTTCTTATTTGAGGCAAATCAGTTGAAGCCTTTCAATACAAGGCATACATGATCCTGTCAGGGTACTAATCTGGAACAGAAAAAGATTATCATACAAAAATGAAAGGATGCATTAGGACACTTCAAGAGGTGATCTGCTGCAGCCTGGGGTGGGGAGAAGAGAAGGCAGAAATCACTGGTTAAAGGATGAAAGAGGAGGAGGTGTGTAAATGTGAAGTCAAGGTTGCTGCTGAACCTGTCACATAACAGTTCATGGAACATTTACAGAGGTATTAAAAAGAATATTGCCGTGTGTCATAATAAGGAAATAAACCATTCTTCAGTTAGTTATTTTTTATAAGAAATTAACTTTTCTTCAATGATCAGATGGCAATTTTGTTGCAAAGATGTCTTGAAAAAAAAATCTTGAACTCTTCTAGCTGTAACAGATTTGCAACATCTTAGTATGAAAACAAAGTAGATGCTTGAATCAATTTCTTCTTTAGGAAGCTGTTTTCTTCTTTCCTGCCTCCACTATATTCTTACCACCTGAGCTGTGAAAATTGTAGACATGGACAAAAGCAATGAAGGAACCTGGATGCACAGAACAGCTTAGCAAAAATAAAAGATCGGGCTGACCAACACCTATACTGGCTATTTGTGAAGAATTGCTGAACAAAATGCTGGTGGCCAGGTAAAATTATTTGACCTAAGCTTACAAATAATTTTAGCAAGTATTTAATTGCAAATATCTGTGTACATGCAACATCTGAGTAATTTCAGCAAAGTCACTGCTTTGCAGGGGTGAGAGACACATTACCCCAAGCTGATGTTATAAAATGTTATAAGCATTGTAAAATATAAAACTAATTGGGTAAATGATACTAGTTGTAGCCACTGAAATTCTATGCCTCATTTCATGTACAAACTCATGTCTGCTACTGCTCCTTCCAGAAGCCACAGCAATTTCTCTCAAGACAGTATCCTAGCCCACATTTGTGCTAAAACCCAGCAATCTTAAACACAGATATACATAAACCTTGTCCTGCAAACTCTGTAAAAAAAAATAGACTTTGTGTATTCTTTTGTAGTGCCCACATTTCAAAGGGCAATATGCTGCATTTCATCAAATCAATGCATCATTACTTTTTTTTTAGAGTAGACCAGAGCTTAGCATTAATTACTCAACCAAAAAAAATCCATCTTAAAAGAATGATGGGAATACAGATTCAAGCACCAATACACTAAAAATTGCCCGAAGTCACATTGCCTTTATAACCTTAATGCAGCCCTTTTTTTGAGCATATCATTTAGGTTACAGCCTTTAATTATGCATTTTAGGCCATTTTTCTCTCAGGACTGTCTCATTAAGCACACAAGATAGACAGCTGCTCAATGGTGTTGTCACTGCTTTTCTCTACAGAGCACAAAGTGTAGCTGTAGGCCTTACTGAACAGTATTCCAGTCCTGCTCTGGAGATGTGATTGGATTTCCTCACGGGATCTCCAATTGTGCTCACAGTATCTTCAAGTGCCTCCAAAATAGTAGACTACTATGAGATGAAGTTTCCTGATTTTACCATTAGAGAGCTGAGCTGTGGAAAGGCCAAGGTAAAAAGTGTCCATTTATTCTAAGTGCTCATTTTGGAAGTGTGCAACTTGACCGTTGAAGTTGCTTATGAGTATAGAATATTTTTCATGGACTCAGAGCATCACTCCTTTTGATTTCAGCTAGAGCTCTAAGTGCTCAGTACCTCTGAAATCTGACTGCTTGCGTTATCAGGATAGAAAGTTAGCAATATGCAACAGGTAGCCAAGTTAGTTTAAGCAATTTGCATAGCACTGCTAGATGCTTAATGTCAGGTGCAGCAATAAAATTTAGTCCCTTTAGGCTAGAAAATCACTTGCCTCCATGGTAGGACCATCCTTTGCCTTCTTGCATTCTTTGTAATTTGAAGCAAATGAAGTCTAAGTTCTCCAGCCACGTATGTAGTATGTGATCATGGCATTAAAATCTTATCAAAGAATGTTATCATGATTCATATCATCATGAATTGGAATTGCAACCTTAATAAAGTTCTTTTAAACTCTTTCTTCCTAGTACTGGCTTGGCACAATTCAGGGCAGTTCCTTTTGCAAGCCATCTGCAGATAATACATAGTTCACATTTTTATATTTAAGAATAAGTTTAGCTAAATATGTTTCATTTGCTGGTATCTGGATACTAATCTGCTGTACTGCTTCTGTCTCCATTTTCATATCCAACTAAAACAAAAGGACAAATCCCACGTCTCCTATTTCTTTTCGCTCCCAAACTGAAGAGACATTTAAAGGCTGCTACTTCCATGATTCAGTGCATAATTTCTAATGTCTCTGTAATATGATAGACTGTGAATGCAACCTAATGGTGCCAAAACTGAGTTGTTTATCTTTTTACTCGGTGAAGCAGAAGGACTCAACTCTCTTCAGTTTGAAAATACTTCAAGAAGAAGCCACTCCTTGTAAGGAATTCAAAAACAATTCAGTTGAAAGAAGACACTTTGTTTCCAAAATAAAGATGTTCTTGAAGAAGAAGCAGTGCCATTCACACCCTGCTCTGTCTCCTTGCATTTAATTTCACTTATTTTTATATGCTGTTTTCAACTTATCCCACCAAGTGAAGAAGAAATGGCATTTCTTACTTCTCCCACAAGAAGGATGCATTCATTCCCCAAAAGAAGTTCCTTCCTTTTCACTCCAAAGGTTTATCTTGGCCGAATGCAGAGGATTTTTATTTAACTGTGAAGCCTGTGTCACTTTCAAATTTGAAGATTAATGATTCTATGTAAAATTCTATGTCTCTTTCCTGCCGGATGTTCAGGAGGTGTCTTATCACTTTGGTTTACAACTGAATCCCTATAATCATCATTTCTTGATTCATATGACAGAACAGGAAGACCCGTAAAGTAGTAGTATTCAACTACAAGATGCAAATCACTTTGTTTATTTTTCACATTTAAGTGCAGTGGATAAAAGCAGCAAGATGGTGACCTTTCAGTATGTTCTGCAGAGAGCTCTAATCCTCCAGGCAACCAGTGAAGTCTAAAATATATGTTTATACTCTTATCTGTGCTTCCGTGTTTCATATATTCTTACGTGTTTATAGTCATATACATGTGTATATTTACATTAATCTGATAGTTACCTGTCACACAGTCTTTTCAATACTTCCTGAACCAAACTTGCTTCCTCTGATCCTGTGAGCCAGTTAAACATTAGCTGCTCTCAAGCACTGTTGGAGGGTGGGGGCAGGGATAATTTTTTTAGTGTATTTCTAGACTAAAACTTTGAAACTTGCTCAAATGAATGAAATATACAATTCTAATTTTTAACTTGTGTCCTTCACTTTTGATAATGCCACACTGGTCCCTAAACATTTAGATCCTGCTGAAAGTACTACTCTTATCTGGGATCATGCTTTTTGTTTGTTTGGGTTTTTTTAATCTTGGGTTATTTTAAATTACTACCCAGTTTTTGTTCCTTGATTTCGTAGATAATATTGGAGAGAGAAATCAAGAATCCAAGCACTCCAGTAGCTGCTTTTTGACGACCTATGTGCAGGCAGGGTGGCTGAGACAAGGTCTCCATCCAGCCATGGGGAAACAGGCTTCCAGCTGGCTCAGAGAACAGCCTCCTGTCTCTGTGGCTTTCTGCCTCTGCTGGCAACGTCTCCAGCTTCTCTTTGCTTGAACCCAGCAACCACATGACTCAGAGGCTGCATGGTAAAAGGGCATTTGAAATTTTACCCCTGTAAACTTGCAGGGCCAAATTTTTCTGCCCGTCCTCGGTGGAAACACCTATGGCCAGCCCCACATGAGGCTGCAGAAGTATGAAGTTCAGCATGAGAACTTTTATGGTTTGGAGGTGCCAGAGAAACAGTTTGTTGGCGGAAAAATGCCAGTGACAATCAAAATACTTATTACCAGTATGCATTAACATACAAAGGACTGCACAATAACAGGTACAGGAAATATTACTGATTTACTGGTGCAAATGGCAAATCCTCTCCTTGAAGCAGTCTGGAAGCTGGAGTTGTGACAGGAAAAAAGTACTCTGCACTGGTCTTAAGAGAAAATGCATTCTACTTCTAAATTTACACACTTCTTTAAAATTATTTTTAAGGTGTGTACAGGAAGGACTGCTTAGTTTTATTTTCTCTTTGCTTTGCATTCTGAATCTTCATGACAGTATATTAAAGTAACAGTGTGATCTGCTGCAATCCTAGGAGCAGCACTAGTGTTTCTAGAAATGAAATGCTTTAAGGATACTATCAAGATAATTTGTGCAGGGACAACTAATATCCTTTAGCACACCAATTCATATAACCGGAAAAATTATGTACAGATTGAGAACAAAACTGCTAGAACAAGTTTAACATGATCATGTTAATTGGTTAGTCAATTTGAGGAGAAATAGTGCCTGTTATATGTGCCTGTTATATGTAATGCCAGGAGAAGAGACCTTAGCAATGGAAAAGGCAGCAGTTTTTCACCATCTTGTAATGGGACAAGGAGAAGGACACATTTATTGCCTGTGGAAGGTCGAGGTGGGTGTGGAAGTGCTCCCTAGGACGTTTCCCAGAAGATGAAGGGGGAACCAGAGGAACATGGCCACAGATTGTTACCTACTGCAAGGAAGTGTGAATAGAGCCTTATATTAGCCATAATGTGAATGCGAATTGATTTGTTTAGGAGGAGACAGAAAGTGCATGATAATTCCCAGGTACCATGCAGGTTCCTGACAAAAATCTGATCCTTAGGAGGCAAGTGGAGGTGAAGACCCTGCTGAAATACACTTCTGTTCCCTAGAACCTTACTGAAGGAATTATCCCTCACATTTCTTCTCCCACTGTAATACTACAAAACTGAGCGAGTATGAGGCTTCCCAGATTACAGGGGGCTTTAACTCTAAAGGAAACAGATCAGATGGTTGGTTGTTTGGGTTTTTTTCATTGCACTTTAAACCAAATCCAACCACTTTGCCCATGGTTAGCATTCAATATTCTTCCTGGCTTGAACAACTGATTTCTGGAGTAGCTTGGCAGAGCTTTGTCTGTAATCCCCTTGAAGAACAAGTCTGAGTGGGATTTTTTTTACAGTACATCACTGCTCTGACTATATGGGCTGAAGTGTGTAAAAAAGAGGGTATAAAACTAGCTGTCCACATGTTCCACTTTCCTCAACGAAAAAAACCAGTTGATACTGATCAAATAAATTGCCGGATTTCAGTCTTACGTACTTTATTAATTTCAGACATGGCACCAGAGGTATCTGTTCGTTTTTGTTTTGCAAAGCACTAATTACAATAGCCAAGGTTAAAAGATTTAGACAACTTCCTTCTCTTCTGCAGTCAACACAATTTAAGAAAGAAAAAACAGTGACTGAAAAGAAAAATACTTTGATTCATCTTAAAGGCACAAACCAATTCCAAAATACTGTGATAATTTGTTTAGATTTGACTTTATGAAACTCTAAGTCTCTTAATAATGTTGGTTTTAAAATCAGAAAATCCAGCAGAAAGACTGGGTTAAGATAGTTCTTCCATAGTGAAAAAAAAAATATGCAAGAAGCAGCTGGACTTCACAACTAGAGATATTGTACATAATGTGAAGATCAGACTTTTCTTTCCAAACTCTGTCATTTTATACAAAAACAGAATTGAATTTCACCAGTCTCAGGAAACATCTGAGATCCTTCTCTATTCCAAGGTATTACCACAAGTTGCCTCAAGGCAATCCTTTCCTCTTTACTACAGCCTGTAACTGTCTTCAAGCAAGCAGAAACTGAATTGCTGTAGAACTGCATTACCCTGTCACAGGTTTGAAATCCTTGGGAAAATTGTGATAGCTTTAAATCTTAAATTATTTAGAGCTTAAAAGGTTTGAGTTTTTTTACAATATATAGAAATCCCATACCAAATTACTCATAAAACTGTAACAACCACTATAAAAATGTCAGCATTAACCAACAATTAGCATATACTCTCTCTCTCACACACACACACACATATATATATATAATTTAAAGATAGGGAAATTCTGTATGTTGTAGCACAGACTACTGTACTGCTAAGTGGGTTTTTTTTAATGTAGTTCAGTATCTTGAGGGAGTTCTCTAAAACACACATACTCTATAATAGAACAGCCAACATATATGAGTAAGAGTGGGTTAAGATTAATTGCCTGACATATGAACCAACAGTGATGTGAATCCTTCAATGCTTCACTGAGCTGCAGTGAACTACACTCCTGCCAGAATCCATAAAATACTGACTTAATATGCAACCATGAATCTTGACTCTCTTGACCCTTCCCCAACATCTCATTTCTTTTCCCATCCTTTTGTATGTCTAGCAGAAAGCATAGATTTTATTAGCATGGAGAAGCTCACAAAAAATCCAAACAACAGAACCGACACAAAACAAAGAAAAGCAAACCAAAACAAAAACAAAACCCATATACACACAACCCCCCCCCCCACCTCCACATGCTGCTGCTATGAGTACAGCTGAATTTCCTGCCTGGCTCCCTGGGCTTATTGATCAGAGGCTTGAACTTTTCACCCCTGTAGTAGAACAGGCTTTCTGATCATCGCAGTATGATGCTGATCTACGCACAGAGGCTTCTGCTTACGGGTATGGTAATAACTGACATTAATCCTGTAGTGCTTTTCCCATTAATGCTTGCATGCTTTAAATTAGAAGGTTACTGTGATTACATAGCCTTTTTTTGATTCATAATAATCCAATCAATCCAATTTACACAGGCAATGTGAGTGCAGAATTCAGCCCTCCTCCACAGGCATTAATGAGCCAGTGACTTCGTGACGTGTGGTTTCATCTCAGCCTCATGCAATGGAGGATACAAGCCACCAAGTTCCGAGTAGCAGGATCCTGATGTCACTCCAGCCCACAAGCACTCGGAAAGCACATGCCCTGAAACAAGTGGGTCTGAATCAGCCTAACGAGCATTCCCCCTTCCATCAGGCAATCATGGCTCTGTAACACTAACCTTGCAAGGACCGGCCTTTGCACACTGCAAACTGCTCATAGCTACTAAGCCAGCAACATGGAGCAGACTCAAACATAGACAGAGCACCAGGAAACTGCAGTCTGTGCTAGAAGTGGAGCCTGGACCTATTGGCTGCTGAAGCTGGAGCTGTAACATAAATTCACCAGCCTGGAACATCTAGAAAACCAAATTGCTACCCGCTTACCTCAGCCAAACAGGCAATACCTGACCAGGCAGTGAGCGAGAGAGCTTGAGTTACGGTATCAAACCACCAAGATATGTAGGTGGTGAATGAGTAAAGTCATAGCATAGTTGATGGTTCATATCTGTGTAACACTGCAGTTGTTGGAACAAATGACCTTACTATAACCTATACTTTTCTTCACTAAACGAAGTTCCTATACTAATATACATTGAAGAAACTTTTCCCCTTGGCATCTCTTGAAAGAAATAATCACTGACATACACCTGAGCATTAACACCGAGTGTCTCATCTAGAAATAGCAGGTCAAAATCTCCATAGGGCAAGCCTGAGATCTCTAGGACAACTGCCGTAAAATTGACATCGAAACCAAGAGTCAGGTTTGCCAGCTCAATGGACTTTTGGTGAACAGACCTGAGTGGTGTTTAAGGTAAGGTTACATACAGCCTCATACAGTGTTCAGAAACAGCAACTACCAAGAAAGTTGCTTGGTACCACTTTAAATCAGGAGCCATGAAGGTAGGGGATTGGGAGAAGAAATACTATAGAAAGGCAGAAAAGAAGAAATTTTTGTGCACTCTTTGTATAAAATACACAATGTGCAGAAGGGGCAGTGAGACAACACATGGGAGGCAGGGCCCTATCCCATGGCCCTTGTGCAATATTTGCTTAACTGAGCAGACTTTCAGGAAACCTGAGGCTCTTTCAACACTGCCCCTCAATACTTGCAGAGCAACTTGTGAGTCACAGAATGTTTTGGGTTGCAAGGAACCTCAAAGATTATACAGTTCCAACCCTCCTGCCATCGGCAGGGACACCTTTCACTACACCAGGTTGCTCAGAGCTCCATCCACCCTGGCCTTGAACACTTTTAGGGATGGGGCATCCCCAGCTTTTCTGAGCAACCTGTTCCAATGCCTCAACAGTCTCACAGCAAAGAATTTTTTCTTTATATCTAATGTAAACCTACTCTCAGTTTGAAGCCATTCCCTTGTCCTGCATGCCCCCGTAAGCTGTTCCTCTGCAGCTCCCTTGAGCTCTCTCTGGGCGCTGACACGCACATGCTTTAACCATCGCTCACTACCGCAGCTGCACATGCAGCCGTGCGGGTGTCGCTG